TCGAAGATATCTCATGATCCACTTCACTGCATTCCAATGCTCTCTTCCCGGATTTGACAAGAATCGGCTAACTACACCAACTGCATGGGCTATATCTGGTCTTATGCAAATCATTACATACATCAAACTTCCTATTGCTAAGGCGTAAGGAACTCTTTCCATGTCTTCCTTTTCCTTATCTGTAGAAGGACATTACTTTGTACTCAATCTGAAGTGGGTAGCAAGAGGAGAGATAACCACTTTAGTGTTGTCCATATTGAACCTCTGAAGCACTTTTTCAATGTACTCCTCTTGTGACAAATATAACTTCTTGGCACTCCTATCACGACTGATTCTTATGCCAAGAATTTTCTTTGCTGGCCCCAAATCCTTCATAGCAAATGACTTACTCAATTGCTTCCTCAACTGGTCAATCCTTGAAGCATTCATGCCAACAATCAACATGTCATCCACATAAAGCAGTATAATAATAAAATCATCATCAGAGAATTTTTTAACAAATACACAGTGATCAGAAGTTGTCTTCTTATAGCCTTGCTCCCCCATAACAGACTTAAACTTCTTATACCACTGTCTTGGTGCTTGTTTCAAACCATATAGGCTTTTCTTCAGCTTGCACACATAATCCTCTTTCCCTTTCACTTTGAAACCCTCTGGCTGCTTCATATAAATCTCTTCCTCCAAATCACCATGAAGAAAGGCAGTTTTCACATCCATCTGCTCAACTTCCAAGTCAAGACTAGCTGCTAGGCCGAATGCTATACGGATCGATGACATCTTTACGACTGGAGAGAAGATCTCATCAAAGTCAATATCTTTTCTCTAATCAAACCCTTTGACAACCAATCTAGCTTTGTATCGTGGCCGTGAAGATAACTCATTTTGCTTCTTCCTATAAATCCACTTATTTTCCAAAGCTCTTTTTCCTTTAGGTAGCTTCACTGACTCAAAGGTGTGGTTATCATGCAATGACTGCATCTCATCTTGCATGGCCTCAACCTACTCAATCTTTTGTTCATCTTCTATGGCTTCTGCAAAACACTGGGGCTTTCCCCCTTCAGTCAATAACATATACTGCTCTGCTGAATACCGAGTGGAAGGACGTCGGTCTCTGCCAGACTTCCTGGATGGAATCACTGGTGGAATCTCTGGCGTTGTCAACTGTTCATCAATCTCAACATCTCCCTGAACCTGTAAGGGAACATCCACATCACCTGTACACTGGTGGTCATCTTGACTGTCATTCTCAACCTGAGATGGCAGATTCTTCAGAGGAGCTGGATCCATATCAGTCAAGATATCACGTTGTTGAGACATAGATTTCCCTGCTTTCTCAATATCCTTAATCGTCTGATCTTGTACAAACACGACATCTCTGCTTCTCATAATTTTCTTCTCAACTGGATCATAAAACTTGTACCCAAACTCATCTTGGCCATAGCGAAGGAATATACACTGTCTCGTTTTCACATCAAGTTTGGACCTTTCATCTTTTGGAATATGCACAAATACTTTGCACCCAAAAACCCGCAAATGATTATAGGATACATCCTTACCTGTCCAAACTCAGTCTGGCACATCAAACTGTAGAGGAACACAGGGTGTAAGATTCAACACATGAACAACTGTGCTCAATGCCTCCCCCCAAAAAGTTTTGGCAATTGGGCTTGTGAAAGCAAACATCTCACTCTTTCAACCAGTGTCCTGTTTATCCTTTCTGCTACGCCATTCAACTGAGGAGTTTTAGGAGTTGTCTTTTGATGCCGGATACCCTGCTGTCTACAATACTCATCAAAAAGACCAGAATACTCTCCGCCGTTATCAGTACGAATACATCTCAGTTTCTTCCCAGTCTGTCTCTCAACTAGGGCTTGGAATTGCTTGAACACTGCTAACACTTGGTCTTTTGAATTCAAGGTATATACCCACAACTTCCTTGAATAGTCATCTATGAAGGTCACAAAGTATCTAGACCCACCAAGTGTTCTCGTCTTCATAGGGCCACACATATCTGAATGTACCAAATCCAGTATCTCTGACTTTCTCGAATGAGGGGAATTCTTGAAGGAGACTCTGATCTGCTTCCCTGACAAACAATAAGTATACCTTTTCAGAAGTGTACTTTTCAGTCCACATAGTAGACTTTTCTTCCCTAGTAGAGCTAATCATTTCTCACTCATGTGAGCCAGTCTCTTGTGCCACAATTCTATTGTATCAGTATCCTCCATCGCATTAACAATGTCGTTGGAGATCTTTGTTTACAGAACGTACAGTGCAGAATGCTTCATACCTCGAGCCACAACCATAGCACCCTTAGTGAGCTTCCACTGGCCATCACTGAAAGTGCTGCAATACCCTTCATCGTCAAGTTTACCTGCAGAAATCAAATTCAAACGAATGTCAGGAACATGCTTCACATCTCTGAGAACTAACTTCGTGCCATTATTCGTCTTCAGATACACATCCCCAATTCCAATGACTTTAACCAAGCCATCGTTGCCCATCTTTACTGTTCCAAAATCACCAGATTTATAAGATGTAAAGAAATCCTTCCAAGATGTAGCATGAATGAAGGCATCATTGTCAATCACCCAACTAGTCTCATGGTATGCAACATTTATCATCTCATCATCATAAACAATGAAGAAGTCTGCAAGAGTGGTGGTAGCAACTATGTCATCACCATCTTTGTCATCTCCATTCTTCGTTCCCTTCCCTTTCTCATTCTTGTTTTCTTTCTTCAATTGCCTGCAATATTTCTTGATGTGTCCTTTTTTCCCGCAATGATAACACTCAACATTTGCAAACTTGTTGAACTTGCTTCTGTTGTTATCTCTGTTCTTCGGACCTCTGCTCTTACTTCTCCCCCTCTTTTCTATAACCAAGATCTCTAACTGTGAAGAGGATTCCTGTGTTTTTCTTCTCATCTCTTCATTTAGCAAACAACTTTTGGCCATATCCATTGTGATTACACCTTCTGGAGCGGAGTTAGACAATGAAGTTCTGAGCGTCTCCCACGAGTCCGGTAATGAACCAAGCAACCATAACCCTTGTATCTCATCATCAAACTTAATACCCATTTCAGCCAGCTGATTAATAATTCCTTGGAATGTATTCAGGTGATCAAATAAAGGAGTCCCGTCCCGGTATCTCAAAGCCATCATCTGCTTAATCAGAAACAATTTATTATTTCCAGTCTGTCTAGCATATAGTTGTTCAAGCTTACTCCATAGAGAACGTGCATGTGTCTCTCCACTAATATGGTTCAAAACATTATCATCTACCCACTGCCTGATATACCCACACACCTGTCGATGTAACAAAGTCCATTCCACATCAGATTTGTTTTCTGATTTTTTAGCACTAAACACCGGTAGGTAATAATCTTTCACATAAAGAAGATCCTCCATTTTTCCTTTCCATATGTGATAATTTGAACCATTTAAATTAATCATTCTACTCGTATTTGCTTCCATAACTCAAACTGCCAACTTGGCAATCTGTCAACCTAGAGCTCTGATACCACTTTGTTGGGAGAGATGACAATAAACAAACACAGCGGAATAATTCTTCTCCCTATATGCAAGCAAATATAGTATATCGCTATTTTTATATGTGCTGAAAATAATAGAGAACAAATCAATCACACCAAGCCACACGAACACAAACAATTTTTTATGTGGAAAACTTCCCCAGTGTGAGGAAGAAAAACCACGGGACCTAGTCCAGTTAAAATCTCCACTATCAACCAAATAATGGGTACACAAAGTCTTCTCTAATCGCAATTAGAGGCTACAAAACATCTCAACAAGATAACAACAATCTTGGCAAAAAAACAAAGAGAATTGGAGAGAAAAATACAAAAACCCGGTTACTATTCACGGGCACGAATCACTGTTCCCGAGCTCAAAATCCGATCTTCACCATTCAGATTTTAACTCATTGAGTCGTGAACCTCTCCTCCAAATTTCAGCTCGATCAGACCACGGATGAAGCGGAATCGGACGTTTGATGAAATCTGGGCAGAATAGAAAAACCTGCGTTTTTCTACCAAAACCCGGTTACTGTTTACGGGCAAGAATCACTGTTCCCGAGCTCAAAATCTGATCTCCACCGTTCATATTATGTGTCACTTAGTCATGAACCTCTCCTCCAAATTTCAGGTTGATCGGACCACGGACGAAGCAGGATCGGACGTTTGATCAAACCTGGGCAAAATGGAAAAACCTTCGTTTTTCTTCTCTTTGTTCTTTTTCTTGCGGCTAACCTCTCTCTCTCTTTTTATACTAACTTCCTTGGGATTTTCTTTTTCCTAAAGGCTGGGCTTTGGGCTTTTAATAAAACCCACTTGGGCTTTTCTCCATATAGAAGGAAATAAACCCAACAGTTATTATCAAATATGATAATATAAGATTAACGGATATTTATTGTAAAATTAGCCAGGCAAGTGTTTCAAAAAATATTGTTACTAAACTTGTTTAAAAATAATTTAATTATAAAAGTACTTATTATAATATAACACCAAACGTTTCTTTTATTTTTATAGCAATGCCAAACGGGATCTTTCTGGCTATGTTTTATCGTGTGCCCATCGGGCTTGTTTTGGCCTATGAAGGCTATGACGTTTAGGGCTTGGGTATGCCCCAAGTATACATTTATATTCATACTTAATTACCGAAAATAATACAGAAGAGCTTGTTCGCTTCACTTCAGGAACTTAGAAAAATGCACAACTAAATTATTCAACCATCAAAAAAGAAATTCTTTCTTTGGTTAAATGCATTTATAAATTCCAAGATGATTTAATCAATCAGAAATTCTTGTTATGCATTGATTGTAGTGCTGCTAAACAAGTACTGGAAAAAGATGTAAAGAATTTAGTTTCCAAACAGATATTTGCTGGTTGGGAAGCTGATTTATCTGCTTTTGATTTTTCTATTGAATATATTAAAGGTAGTTCTAATTCTTTACCTGATTTTCTAACTCGGGAATTTTTGCAGGGTTCATGAATCAGCCCCCTCATGGGCAGGGCCGGGGTAATACTCCAAAGGCTCGTGGCAAAAACAAGGCTAAGGCCAAAGTGGTTATACCACTAAATGATTATCAATTTTCATATTTGGATCATGTTGCAGATCTGCTCAGCACACCTCCTAAAGGCAACAACAGTTCACAACAGAAACAACAGAAACCAACCATGAAAGAGGTTCTTGAACAAGAAACTCCATGGATACCTAATCAAAGGTATATTCAGACAGAATTGGTACTGGATTCTCAAGATGAGCAATGGATGCCAGATCCTTGGGAAGTTAAATCCAGATATTTCCAAACACAACAATATGCTGCACCGGATGGTCGCCATAGATATATCTATGAAGCCATTCTTACTGAAACTTCCTCTGTGGAAATCAACCACACGAAGCAATTTTCGAATTCCAAAGATAGTCCTCTTACTTATAGTAAAGCTATCTTTAAGAGGCTTATAAGGCCTAGTGACTGGGGATTAAATCCTAATTTGCCAAGGAAAATATCCTATGGTCATAGTTACAATTACTGGGATTATATCTCAGCATGGACATATTCATTCTTTTATGAAAATCCGAAGCATAAGCATTCTTGGTTCCTCAAGATATGCCCTCAATCAGTTAAGGCTGATTTCCCAAACTGGGTTATATCCTGGTGGGCTATATTTGGCCCTGATCTGGATATTTTGCCAGAATCAATTCAGCAGCTATACTTGCCATGGCAACAATTTCATCCTCAATTAAGAGGAAATGATAATATTCCTATAGGGAAATCCACCATATTGTTCTTTACTGAATTTGGAATCCCTTGGATTTGGAAATGGGATTTTCAATGTGGTTATACCACTGACAAGTTACCAGTCCTTCAGAGGATCTTTTATTACAGATGGTGGTCAGGCATGACTCAAGACCCTATTCAAGCCCTCCTCCATCTTATCAGAAAGAAAACGATGGAATACATGGATAATGTTCCAAAATTAACTATTCCAGAACCAGAAATCTTTAACCCATTTGAACTTGTTAAAGATATGATCAGAAAGCAACAACCATTAATTACCGAAGCAAATTTAATGGTTAAATGCATGGATTTTATGAAGAACAAATTGGTTCAAACTTTTGATTCTTCCACACCTACAGTATGAGATGATGCATCCATGGTGTCAGTCTCTAGTCAGACTAGTCAAGAAGGTAATCAGTTTTCCTGTCTAGCTGGTTATGCACAAGATCCCAATGAAGATCTTATTTCTGAAGATGAACCCACAGTAGCTGATTATTGGGACTCCCTCACTGGCCACTTAATGGAAAAGATGAATCCACCCAAAAAGTAAAGATTCCTCTTATCCTGCCGACAGAAGAAGACAAAGCACTTTTCCCCCAAGTCTTTGATTCTACAGTATTTCCTTAATCAGATGCCTACTTTCATCAGATAAGGAGACAGCACTTAGTGGTGGGCCGACCGACTGCGCATTATTCAAGCACACGATCCCATGCACTATGCGGACTTCAAAATGTTAATTTCAAGTCCATTTTATGTATAAATAGAGGGCAAAGTTTCCCTTCAATGTATCTTTCAATTTTCCTTTCTTCTTCTTGTAATATGTCTCTCTGTACTAGTTTGGGAGTTTAATAAAGAAGAAAGTTTTCCGTAAGTCTGTTATTTCATATAATCTTTGTCAATTATTGTTATATTATTGTTATTATATTATATTGTTTACAATTGATCCCTCGCCGTTTTGGTATCAGAGCCATGATGGCTTAACTCTTTATTGTTAATGCTTATTAGGTACTGGTAACATGATTATTATCGTAATTATGTAATGACCAATAAGACTACTTTTCTGTCTAACTTATGTTTAAACCAGATTCAATTATGGGTCGTCCAAAAGTCGCGTTGGAATGTTTAACCCGCTTTTTGCATTAAATTGCTGCACAGGGTATTGTTTCCAGTAAATCGTTGACAGACGAGTAATAGAATCTCTCTTAAGCAGAACGACGACAGAATAGTAACTTACTGTTCATTATATAATATTATAATATTTATACTATGCAGACCTCAAAGCATTAACAATATTTAACAGACATGTTAAAACCATCTTCCTCCTCTTCAGGAGTACAAGAAAATCAGGATTCAGAATTGATAAAAAATACTGAATTAGTGGAATGGACCAATGTTCAAAATAGATTGAATAAATGGACCATCCCTCCAGTAAATGCTAAGAGCATTTACAAAATCGGAATGCTTAATCTCGCTGATCTATGGACTGTCAAGACCATGGAACAGACTATGCAATTAAGCACTCAAGACACAATAATTAAATTGTTGTCTTCCCGTGACCTTCAGAGGCACATGCACAAATATAAGTACATCCATATAGGTTTAATTCAAATTGCTTTTAAACCTTTAACCTTGCTAGGTATGGATGCTTGTATTCAAGCAACCATTCGAGATGTTCGATGTCTAAAATTTCACCCTTCTTTAATGGGTGCATTGGAAACCAGCCTATGTCATGGACCGGTTTATTTTAATGTCTATCCTAGTCTGAATTTATCTTTAACAGATAAAAACATCCATGAGGCAGTTAGTCTTCGTGTTCAGACCTATGGGTATGATTATTTACCTGGATCGGAAGTGATAAGTGTTATTTATCACATCCATTACAAAGTACTTGATACTATGTGTCCAAATGCCATACGCAAAGACTCTGAAGGAGTAACAGTGTTATGGGACACCAATATGTTCACATCAAATGTTGCCATAAAAAGGATGATTCCTTGGAGTGAAATAACATTTCCTGAACATTGGACAATTTCTAATGCAGTTCCGGCAAAGCCAATTGCTAATCATAGCTTGGACTGTGTTATTCAGGACCAGGATGGTGATGTTTTTCTGAATTTCAGAAAATCATTAGATCTACCCAGATCTACATCATCTAAAGGAAGTCATCTTCCTTATTATGTTTCTTGTCCTCCTTTTTGCCATTCGATCTCGTCGGATTACAGAAAGGAAAATCTCCCTAAAGTAGTTGGTTCCAATCACCTCAAGCTGAAAGGAATACAGCAATCTCCGAATCAAATTCCAAGAGGAGTCTACGAGAAAGCACCAATAGGTATGTCTCGTCGCCAATTTGGAATTGAATTCAGCCCAACTCCATCAGAAATGGGAATCGGAAATGAATCTGTGAAGGATCAATTTGACGATCCTACAGATATAAATGATCCTCATGAATATTAGTTTTAATGGATTTTGTCCCAAATAGAATTGCTATTAATACTGAATTTCAACGGGATCAATATAAAGAATTCAAAAATTGGTATTTTAAAGCTTTTGACCAAAACCAATTACAGCTTTTTAAAAAATCAATTTTATGACTTTCTACAAGAAAGCAAAATGGTTAAACCTTTTGTTTCTTAGTTTTATATGACAAATCATTCTCTTGTTAATATAAACATATTGGATGATTTTTTCAAACCATGGACTACATCTGAAGATAAGGTTTATCACTCTATCCATCCTCCCACTGAACATTTAATTCTGAAAAGAATTGACCCTGACAGTGGTGTAAAAGTGGAAACCAAGGCTTATAGCCAACCTAAAATAATTGATCAGTCCTGTAATGCTACTAAAAAAGACATTTCTCATGTTTACAGGCAAAACAATTATACTAATGTTTGTCTACAAATGAAAACATGATTAGGTTTATACTTAATTTGCATCTTACCTCCAATTTAGTTGTGCATTTTTCCAAGTTCCTGAAGTGAAGCGAACAAGCTCTTCTGTTCCTGTATTTGGATTCTTCTGTTTAAGAATACCACCATATCCAATATTGGATGCATCGGTTTCCACAATTTTGAACCATGAAGAATTGGCTAGAGCTAAGCAAGGAATTTGTTTGGCTCTGAGTTTAATCTTCTGGACTGCCTTGGTGTGTTCCAAAGTCCATGGGGAAGGAGATTTCCTTAACCTGGTGTACAAAATTGCGGTATCCTGTGCAAGATCTCTGTAGTGATTTCAAATATAATTCAAACTATCAAGAAATCTCTGGAGTTGAGTTTTATCCTTTATTTCATCTGGAAATTTAGAAGCAAACTCAATACTGTGATCAATAGATCTAATTTTTCCATCACAAATTTCATGACCAAGAAATCTGACATGGGTTAAAAACAATTTTAGTTTAGGAGCAGAAACTACTAAACCACTTCGGTAAATAACATCTTTGAAAATTTTCAAGTGTTTATAATGTTGATCTATTGATTTTTAAAATATAAGAATATCATCAATATAAACAATAGAAAATTCAGTATAAGGATTAAATATGTCATTCAAAATATGTTGAAATTCTGAAGGGGCATTTTTTAATCCAAATGGCATCACTGTCCATTCATACTGTCCAAAAGGTACACAAAAGGCTGTTTTGTACCTGTCTTCTTCGGCAATCTGTACCTGGTAATATCCAGACTTAAGATCAAATTTAAAAAATATTACAGCATATTGTAATCTATCTAAAAGATCTTTGATGTTGGGAATTGGATATCGGATCCAACTCAAAGCAAGATTGAGTGGTCGATAATCAATAACCAATCGAGGAATTCCTCTTTCTTTTTCAGCATTTTTATTGACATAAAAAGCTCTGCAACTCCATGGGGAGTGGCTGTCAGTGACAAGCTTCTTTGCCATTAAAGAGCTGATTTCAGTTTTGCATAATTCCAAGTAGTCAGCCTTCATGTGGCTGGGACTAGCTTTAGAAGGAATCATGAGATCGGTAAATCCTTTTTCATAGGGTAAAGAAACAATATGCTTCTTTCTGGCCCAAAAAGCATTAGGAATCTCACTACAGATTTCCTTTAGAAAGTTTTGTCGTATTGACTCAATTTTCTGTTGCTCAGTGGGTTGTAACAATCTTTGATTAATTGCTAAGGAGGATACCTCCTTTTGCAAATAATTCAGTTGCTTTTCCTTAAAGATAATATTATCTTTAAGAGCATTGATATGCTTATTTACTGGTGGGGTCAAAAACTGGAAAGTAATTGACTGGCCATGTAAATTAGAACATATTCCATGAGAATCAATTTTCTCAATTGGCATGATCAAAGCTAAAAAGGGGGTGCCCAAAATAACTTGTTGTGCCATATTTTTGATGAGTAAGAAAGTAGATGGTAAACAAATACCTTCTTTACAAATGAAAACATGATTAAGTTTATACTTAATTTGCATCTTACCTCCACTTGCGCTGGTAAGACCTTGAGTGGTTTTCGCAAAATATTGAGTAGGAACCAATCCTTCCTGTATACAGTTCATATCTGCACCACTATCAACTAAGGCAATCGCATTAGTGATGGTGTACTCTTGATTAATTACCAAATTGATAGATATATACCATTTTTGGTAAGTAACTTGATTCAAGAGTTGAAGATAATTAGTACTTTCGGATTGAGGGACTTCAATCTGGGATGATGAAGTTTCAGCTACAGATGTTGCTTTTAAAAGAGTAATTTCCAGTTCCATCTTTTGTTGACGAGACTTTAACTGGCGAATTTCTTCTCTTAAAAGATTAATCTCCATTCTAAGATCAGGGAGATTAGCAGGACGAGAATTTTGTCCTTGATGTTCTAATCTGCTTAGAACTTCTTTCATGCTGTAATGATTTTCTGCTCTCAGAAAATCTGGATTATCAGTATCCTCATTAGGTCGTGCCAGAGCAGAACCTATTTCAAAGACTTTCATCTTGATTTGAGGATCCTGGATATGATCTATAAGATTCAATAAGGATTGTTGAGTCAAGGTCAAAACGTTTAAGCTTAACCCATTCATTTCAACAATTGCCTTATAATAATCATCATGTGAGGGATTACAGGAGCATTTTGGATGTCCAACTTCTGCTTCAGAGGAAGAAGAAGACTGTAATTCCATAACAACATCCCCATAATCAGCTGATGATTCTGATTCAGAAGAACTAGTATTAAGTAACAATTTACTTAATTGAAGTCTTAGTTCATCTTCGATGTGAAGACTACTAAGTTTCTCCTTAATTCTGCACTTGTTTGCATAGTGGCCCATGTGTCCACATTTGAAACATTTAGCCTCAGCTTTGGGTTTTCCTTTACCTTTTGCTTTAGGAATATATTTTTTTTAGGCTTAGTATACTGTCGAGAATTATCCTTTTCCTTTGAATAATTCTTTCTCTTGGAATACTTCCTTTTATAAGGCTTTTCAACCTTATTTCTTTTTCTAGGTTTAGGATAAGATAAGGGAGTTTGGTAGGCAAATTGATCACAAAATTCACCTACTTCCTTTCGACCAGTTAATCTTTGTGCTTTTAACTGGGATTGTAACTTCAGATCATTACAGAGAGCTAGACCTTCCTGGATTACAATATTGACTAATCCACCATAGGTATAGTTTCTGTAAGGGATAGAGATACCATTATTCATATCTCTAAGTTTTTTCCTGATTCTTTCAGCAAAGAAGGTTGGTAAACCATCCACAAATTTTGCTTTCCAGTGCTCATGATTTGCATCATTGAGTTGGAGAACCTTTGCCAAGAATACATCTTTATACCACCGAAAATGGGTTAAAGATGGACATCTTAAGTTCTGTAGAAGTTCACGACTCCGTTCACTATTAGCGCCTTCTGGGCCAACAAAATGTTGGATAATAGTGGTGATGAGGGTGTAAACCGCATCTGGAGCAGGTCCTGGTTGTTGAGTAGCTTCATCTTTAACTATCTTGGTAGCAGAAAAGATTTTAGCTTTCTGATCGTCAGTGAGAACATTATCCCACCATCCTTTAAGGATTCCTGTAAAACCAGCAACGACAAACTTAGCAATGGTTGGGTCAGTGTTGTGGTTTAATTTACAGACTTGGCTATACATCAACATTTGATGAATAACCTCATATATCTGATAATCAGATTTGCCATCAATGTTCCATTCATAAATGGTCTTACCATGAAAAGATTTCTGGATATGAAAATAATCTTCTTCATACAAGATATCTTGAGGTGTAGGTCTGGGATAATAATATCTACTCGGAGCAGGTGCTGTATTGGAGTGGATATTCTTATCATAGACAATTCTGTTCAACTCAGGTAGCTGAGTGAAATCAGTTTGAAAAGCCTCAATATGAGGTAACACATCAGAATCAGAACCTATATCAGATTCATCATGGGATAAAGTCTGAATTTTAAGTCCTTGAATTTTCTGAGTAAGAAGAGTAAGAAATTCTTCATTCTTCTTAGGATGTGTAAGATTGAAGCCTTTAACTTCAATTGCAGGTTGGACCAATGCTTTGGATAAGGAAGCTTCTGGAGGAGAAGGCTTAACAGTAATAAACTTAGTATTAATTGTATTTAATACTATGTCTATTCCTGTTTCAATTGTTCCAAGCTGAGACCCTATCGTTTGTAGACAAACATTAGTATAATAATAATAATAATAATAATAATAGTTTAGCGTTGTTTGCTGCTTCTGGCTTCACAAACGTTTCTTTCTTCTTTTTCCTTTTTGTTTGTTTTGGGTAAGTAGGCTTCATAGAGCCATGTTGTCCTCTTACCAAAATGGATTTGGCCCCTGCTTGATTGGGAGAAATCGGAAGGCAAGAAAAAGTAAATGACCAATAATATTATAGAATTTAAATTTAACATAATTGTAATAAGATTCAAAATTTTCCCTTGGTCACTTCGAATTTTCAAGAAAACTGAAATATGATAATAGTTCCACATAAGTTCATAATTATCAATGACAAGTTGTGCCTTTGGGTTTCCATCGAAATAACAAAAGCAAAAAGGAGAGGAAGAAACAATCTGAAAATACTAAAAATCCATTTACATTCCAGGGAGAAAAAAAGAGTCTCTCATTGCAATCAGTAATTTTAGCACAAAGCTGCATTTGAGAATATGAATTGTCCGAATATATATATATATAGTGTCAGATCAAGAACTCATGCTAAATAAAAAAAATAACCAACAAGTCAGTAGCCTAGCGATAGAGAAAGGGAGGATAAGAGTTCAAGCCTCAGTGGAGGCATGGGTGTGTGAGTATCAACTAAGAAGGAAAAAAAAAAAAATACCAAAGAAAATAACAATCTGGATTTTTCGTTAGTAGGATAATGATTGGGAAAATAATTAAAAAAATCACAGAATGGGTAGCTCCCATAACAAAAATTGATACAACTGTTTCTTCTTTAGACCAGAATGCGTAATACAATGCTCAGAAGGTGAATACAACAGTCCAATAAGAATCTGTGTAACTCTTAACCAAAAGAAGAAAAAACATAGTAGTAAACAAAAAATCATTTGTCATTACATTGGCATTTTAATAGAAAAGAAAGGGCTCAATAACTCTAATTTCTTTTCTTTAGCAAAGTATATCACTTCCTGTTGATATAACAGTTGATGCTCCTTTCCATCACCATACCTGAAGATTTATCTATGATATCATCACGAAAGAAGAAAATTATAAGATGGAGATAGTAAATAGCCATCTCAGGTCAGAGAGAACTTAGGTAGTCTTTTATCAAAGTGAAGACGGGGTTGGTAAATGAAGATCCCTCCAGTTTCTGAAACATGATTCCATCCATCCGGGCTTGAACTCCATCAGAAGATGTTAAGTCTTGTAGCAGTTCTTTTAATGTTCTGTCAACTCCAACTAGAGAATTCCCAATGCCGCTTAAGATTTCCGGTAGGGTAGGGGAGGGTCTTGATAGTTCAACGAGATTAACCTGGACGTTTACAAGGATACACATTAGAATGCCTTAAAATAATTGAAATGGCACATTTGATGTTATAAGTATTTTAGTATATAATGTACCCTAAAGTCAAACCAGATGTTCGTTTGCCTCCAAGGAAAGCTATACTAACAATGGAGCATTCAGCCATACAATATGGTCGGTCCATTATGAAAACATGCCAGTTCTTTTAGACCTGAACTCAGAAGTCTATGGGGCCACAGACTATCTTCATCTTTTTATCATAATTTTATATAAAAGAATAAAGTGGCCTTCTCCAAACATTTTACAGGCAGCAGAGGCCATATGGGAACTCTGTCCCTATGTTCAGGATTCAATAGCCATCAAAAGCTTAAAATTATTCCAGGATAATTATGAAAAAATTAAAGCCATTTGCCAATTGGCAGGGGCAGGCATCTAAACTAGTTTAAAAATTATCAAGATTAGGTGGTGTGTGTATGAACTTTCTGAACTAAAATCTGCTTATCCTGCCAAAACTACCATATTGTAATATAGTTGCTAGATCCTGGGAATATCATCCCCAAGTCAAAAAAAAAAAAAAATTAAAACAAACAAATAAACAGAAACATAGTCATGGTGTATTCAACCTGAATAAATTTACTTAAGTTACAAGTTTTGCAATGAACTTGAATTATTCTAAAAGTGCATAATTCACACCCATATTTGTTTGAAACAAAAAGTGCAATAAGGAGCTTGTTAAAATATAACCAGTCACTTATCAAAAAAATATATATAACCCGTCACTGTTTTTAAATAGTATGAATTCACTCAAGACTTTTCAACGACTTAAATCATCTCCAAAACAAATAAATAACTGCCATAATTGTCGAAAACAATAAAAAAGTGCAACAAAAAGGAGTTTGTGTAACCTGTCTGTCCTCTGGAATATTGGCCTTCTGTTTTGCTATAGCAACAGCCTTAGAGAGCCCACCAATAGTATCAACCAGTCCTCGCGATGCTGCATCTTTACCTGTCCAAACTCTCCCTTGAGCAACCTCCTCCATCTTATCTACCTGCCACAGAATGACTCGGACTTACATGTAAGAGAATGAAGAAAATAGCACACTTCGATGTTGTATATTTAATTGACTATCATACCGGCATTGATCTTGAAAATGCCGCCTTATCTCGAAATTGCTTATATGCATTCTGTGCAGACTTGGCAAAGAGTTCAGCTTCATCTGGTCTGCAAATCATATTTCATTATTCAAATGAGCGATCAAAATTATATGAAAATATAAGTCAAACAACAAGCACCAATGTAAGGGCCATGGGGGAACAAAAAGGATGACTTCAAATACATCATAATGAAGGAAGGTAATTCAACAGACAATAGTAACAATACACACCTTCAAATCCCAACCTGAGCATGATATATTTAGTGAAATGAATGTGCACTGGTTCTAGATCACAGGATACAAGTGTCTGTATTCCTATCAATCTATTTTACCTGAATGGTCGCTGTTCAGCTGCAGTGAGCTCAGCAAATCTTCCCCTTGATATGATCTCCTTATTGAAGCCAATTTTTTCATACAGTTTACCCAAATTAAACTTTCCTACAAGAAAAATTATAAGACATCAACGCAATAACCTAGAAAACTAAAAAGCAAAACCAGTTTAATTCTGGTTCACAAGAGAATCTCAGCCTTTACTTTTTTACTCACACCATAAGCATACAAGCAACTTCAACTACAGAACAATTAGGGTGCATTAACATTTCAACCATAGACAACAACTCCAAAACCAAAAAGCATACCAACAATGAGCAAGTTGAAATTTGTGATAAGGTTTTTATCAAATGGCAGATTTCAATTTATTCCCACAGATGTCATTGTATTGATCAACAAATTTTAACCTTTTCAAGAACTACTCGAGATAAACAATGGCCAATCATTCTTGTTATTGATTGTGATATCGTTTCCTCTGGTTTACACAATTAGAATCATTACTATTTCATCAATCACAAATATATGAAATCAAAGAGATGCACATTATAAATTGTGCATGATATGATGCTTTTGGATTGAAATAGGGCGATTCCAGATATGAATTCACGCTATGTAGGAGGGTCAGCACTTGAAATTGGATAGAAAGAGTTGAGGAAGAAGGTGGTGTTGGGGTATGAAAGATGAATCAACTCTATTATTAGTGCAACTGGACAGATTTCAAGTAACTCCCTTTACCTCTAAAATTTTCAAATAAGACAAACCCATCCATGGAGCTTGTTGAAATCCACACTCAAGTTATACTTATAAAAAATACAATATCAATTTTTTCATTTCAAATACATTAATACAAGCACTCATCAATGTTCACAGAAAGCAGGAAACCAAGGATGTTGCTAGGTTCACCTGTGACAACCCCAATTGAACCAGTTAAGGTAAGATTCTCCGCAACTATAGTGGCTGCTGCCATTGCCATATAGTATCCTCCACTGGCTGCCACATCAGCCATGGATGCAATGACAGGTTTTGAGGCAGCCAGAAGCTTGATTTCCCTCCACATTCTGTATAACATAAACACCGAAGCTAATCAATTAATAACAGAAACTCGTGACAGCTTTTCTTGTAATTTAGGTCCATTTTTTATTTTCATATTTTTTCCTTTTTCAAGGAGAAAGAAAATACTATGGTGGGTGAGCAAGAAACACCCAGTACTGTCCCAATGGAGGCTTGAACCCTCAACTACCACTTGAGCTAAAGCCTTGGTGGTAACAAGTACAAAATTCAAAAATGTGAAGTAAGATTTTGTTAGTAGATATGATAGGCCACGATTTATGGAATGACTTACCGTATTAGCAAAGATTTGATTAGGCAATAGAATAAGCTGTGCCTTGATTTAATTTCCTTTCTTGTAATATGGGCATGTGCTCTTTTTATCGATACTGGAGCTGTGAATGAGTGAAAATATCATTCAAGCCTTTACACAATTCTCTCCTTTTTCTTCTTTTTATATTTCTTCTTAGTATTAGAGTCAGCGTTGTCCAACTACAATGAAGGCATTGCGAGTTCGGCACCACCCATTCGGGAATGGTCTAATGCCCATCCGGAAGGTGTCGGGTAGGCAGGGTGGTCTGACCTCAATGAGGGCGTTGTAAGTTCAGCACCACCCCTTCAGAAACAGTCTGATGAGACGTTGATTCTTTCATGTATGAAGGGGAATGGTCTAAGGAGACATTGTTGATTCTTCCATCTACATATTTTAAACATGTGAAGGGAAATGGTATGAGGAAAGGAGACATTGTTGGTTGTTTACGGTCTGAGGAGACATGATTGGTTGTTTTATGTTTTAAGGAGACATTGTTAATTGTTTATGGTCTGAGAAGACATTTTTTATTCTTCCATCTACATGTTTTAATCATGTGAAGGGAAATGGTCTGAGGAGACATTTTGGTTGTTTACGGTCTAAGGAGACATGATTGGTTGTTTATGGTTTGAGGAGACATTGTTTATTGTTTAGGTCGGAGGAGACATTTTTGATTTGTTGATCGGCACTTCATTTGAGAGAAAATCACTACTAGTCAGATTTGCACTTTGCAACTTGTAGATCTGAAGAAGGGTGCTAGCAAGAACGTGTTTGAAGATGCATTGTCCAAGTTAAGCATCTTAGATATCCACACACCAGCTTGAGGGGGAGTGTTAGCAGATGTGATAGTCACGATTTATGGAATGACTTACCGTATTAGCGGAGATTTTATTATGCTATAGAATATGCAATAGAATAAGCTGTGATTTGATTTAGATTTGATTTAATTTCCATTCTTGTAATATGAGCATGTGCTCTTTTTATCTATAAATACTAAAGCTGTGAATGAGTGAAAATATCATTCAAGCCTTTACAAAATTCTCTCCTCCTTTTTATACTTCTTCTGATTTTTTTTTTTTAATAAGTTTCCAGTCTGATTGAGCAAAAGTTGTTCTAAATTTAAAAATGAAAATATAGACATGCATCCAAAATGTGAATATAAAGAAAGAAGACCGTTGAAGAAAAATTTTAATTTGTTTGAATGAACAAGGTCAATCTGTCTCATGAAACCAAATAAATTACGTAAAAGATGCTTTTGTCTGCCAAACTTAGTATTTTAAGTGTTTGTATACATATATTTCTTCCCCACTATGACATCCATTGTCAGCACCACAAAACTATTCAACATCATTTAAAAATTCTAAATTTGATTATCTTAAAATAATGTACACTGGTTTACCGGGTTTGAGGCAATCTTACACTCTCAGCTTTCAGTTACCTTTTAACATGTTTCTGCCTCGGCCTTACATACTGATTATAAATTAAACTCACAAAGTAGCATCATGAGATCTTTTTAGCAGGTAGCATACTAGCATCCTTGCTACCTCCCTCTTTTCAGGAGATTGCACTTTTAAACTCAGGGACTTGAACTTTTTTCTCTCAATGGCAAACGAATAACAACTCCACAGGTATTTTGCAGACATGCAATCTTTGGAAGGTTTGAAAGACCATTTGGAACAATGAAGATAGTGGGGAATGAGGCAAGTGAATTTTAAATGTCCAGAGGTGTTAGGGTTTCTGAGACCAAGGAATACAAATAACACCTATAGGGGTAAAAAAAAAAAAATCCGCTCTACACCCTGAATTGTGCAGCTGTCTCTCTGCAATTGTTCGCGCTTACAAACTGTCTACATGCATGCACACAAGTAGCAATACTGCACTGGTTTGTAGTGTGATAGATTAATGCGTTCATCAAAACTTCTCAAAATTCCGTTCATAGATTCCGATGGCTCATGGTTATTAATTTTCTAAACAATTGTGCATGAATTAGGCTTGCAGGGTCATCCCCGTGCTATTGTCTTTTTCTTTCTTCTTTTTTTCAGTAAATATATGTACTCAAAGAAGAAAAAAAGGAACATGCATCTCTCTCACCCACCCCCAAAATAAATTAATAAATAAAATTAAATTAAAATCAAAAAGATCTCATGCGCATAATTACTAACCCCTTCAACCTTTGTAGCGTTCTAATGTGGGACACAACTCTCAAAGCATCTCGATACTCATATACAAAAATAAAAAAAAGCAACAACAAGAACAACAAATCACTTTCTACTCAAATAGAAAACCAAATTTTGACCAATCTCCAAATATTTCATTGCTACAAATAAAACTAATAAAATACTTATATTATGACAATGTTGTTCCATCTATTCAAAAAACAATAATAAATCTTAAAAGATCACTGAAGAGTTAATATATTCAATATTAAAACCAACATATCAAAAAATCCTCAATCACTACACAAACTAAAATGAAACATAATAGATAAATTGACCTACAAACTGTCTTTCTGATTCAAGCATCAATCATGACTTCAAAAAAATAAACTAATAACATACAGCTACAGGAGCACTTACAAATCAGAGGCAAGCGCATCACCACCAGGACTATCAATTCGGATGATAACAGCCTTGTATCTTTTGGAATCTGGATAAAGAAGCTCCATATCAACCAGAGCAGAAAGAAAACTAGAAAGGAAGTGAAATTGAGTGTTTGAATGGAGCTCCATTACACCAAGCTAGGGTTGGAGCCTGTATTTTTATATGCTAACATTTACACAAATATACACCCTTTAAAAGCATGCTGCAGTAGCTTATGGTTCGATTGCCTTTATAAGTATCCCACTAAAATTACAGCCTTTAAAAGCATATACAATTGCTGTGTTAAATAAAACATTTGACAACTAAAAAGTAAATTTTAAAATAACAACATATGTACAGTAGTAGGAAGACTGAGGCTAAGAATAAAAGGTCATTCAAAATTCAATAGACTATAGAAGCCACAAAAATGAATAAAATGTAATAACTGGCATGCAAATAGCAGAAACTTAAATCTAAAATAAAAATAGAATAAAAGACAAATTATCATAGTTCCTCCATATATCTTCAATGAAAACAATTCCTCTTAAATCAACACACTAGGAGCCATGTGGACTTTATGACCTTACAAATATGAGTCATTTTTTTAATATATCAGGCTGTAGAGGATGAAAAAAAAAATGAAGGAATGGAAGACAGATTTCAATCAAGAAGGCTATGCCTGTTACTATACAATTTTGCTCCGGTTGATTCAGTAGTTATGTACCCCAACTCCAGAAAGAATATATAATTGACTAACATGACTTGTTCATAATTGCAAAAGTAATAATTAGATTTCCTTGGAATATACATCCAAAAAGATAGATTTAACAAATAAAGCATACCTCTTACACTACGAATCTTCTCGATGAATTGTTCCCCGATAATACCAGAACTAGGAACACTTAATGGGCTCCGTACACGACTAATGCTTCCAGAGGCTCTGATTACAGCAATTTGTTCTTTACCACCAGATAAACCGAGAGTCCATTTCCTAACTTTAGAGTATTTCCTGTAGTTAGCATGAACCCATGAGTTTGTGTCTTGCATGCCTTTCAAAAGGTTGCTTCATAAGAAAGAGAGATTATTTGATAATATAAAAATCCAAACAAACAAATTACTAATTGAAACAGAACAACAAACACATGCCCAAGAAAAGTTACAAATTTAAAGACCACTTTTAAAGGCAGTTAATGCTGTATGTCACATATAAAAAGCATGCATACAGAAGGAGCACTTCCAGACAAAATATAACTGTTCAAATTATAGGGAACATAGCCGTAGGTGGACCTTTGGAATAACTCGCACAGGAAATGCAAGTGGAGAAATGGAAACAAATTATTCTCCTTGGAGAACCTGTAATACCCCTATATTTTGGAGGAATTATTTAATTAAATTAATTGGATTTAATTGATTTATTTGTTTTAAATTAAATTATTTGTTTATTTGTTTTAATTGGATTTATTGGTACGATGATTGTGAGTGTGAATGTGCTTGGGTGTTGATTGATTTGTTGGCATGTTGATATTGTTTGTATGAAATGACTTGGTTGCTATGATTCTTGCTTGTGTATGTGCTATGTGTATTTAGTTGTGTAATTGATTATTTTATTATATTTATTTAAGTTTAATGGACTGGACTTGGAATGGTTGGACCAAAGGATTTGGTCTTGGGCTAGAAAGGAAGGCCTTAAAGGTTTTGGGAAGTTATTGGGATTTGAATTAAAAGAAAGTATTCCTTGAATTGTTAATAATTATATAATGGATAATTAATTGTTTGAAAAGGTAATTTGGAATTTAAAGGAATTTCATTTCAAAGGGTATGTACCTAATGTATGAATTTAGGTATGTGTGTGATTAAATCATTTTAACGGTTTTAGAATTTAAGGATCGTATTAAATGGTTGAGACTTTTATATTGTATAAATATTTATTTATATATGTATCATCTTATATTAAAGGTTAAAACTTTAATTAGGATGATTTTGGTTAGAGATGCTTTATTTATCGGTTTTCAGAGGCTTGGTAAAGGGAGTTTGCTCGTGGGTCTAACCCGTGCTTTTTTCTCTTTTTTTTCAGGGAGACTTGTCTTTCATCTTGTTATCTCATCTACTTCTAAGCAGTGTTGACATTTATTAATAGAAGTAATTTTAGTTATGTATGAACTGGTAAATTAGTAGTTTATGGTTTAGGGGTCCTTGACTTACAAGATTCCCGAGTTGTATTTTTGAGACCTATGTTCATGGGATTTATTTTGCAAGAAAAGATTAATTTATTTAATAGAGTTTCTTTCAGCGAATTTATTTATTCTTTTTTTTTTTTTTTTTTTTTTGTTTGTAATCAGTGTTCGTTTATTGCCAAATTGTTTTGATATCCCCATGTTTTCAGGTCTGGGCAGCCTAGCCAACCTACACATGGAAATTCAGGGGTATCACAAACCTTAGGAGATATAAATTGTGCAATTGCAAAAACAAGGACTGTATATGGATAAAAATAGCATGATCTTTGCCACTTCAAACCCATTGTTGTCAGAATAATGTTTTTGCATTGTGAACTTAAAAAATTCCGAGGCAAAAACTAATATGACATCTGGAACATTGAACGTTAAAACCACAAATGATCTTTGAAGAGGATAAGAGCCGGTTTTTTCAATGAGAGTGAATCATAACCAGGCAAGATGGTAATGAACTTGCAAAGTGAATGGATGAGAGTTAAGGCACAATTCCGGATTGAAGGACCAGGGGCAGTGGTCTCCTTGCCTAATTATTTCCTCCCAGACACATGTCCAGGAGTAAATATTTCCATTTTTCTTGCTCATATAACTCCACGTGTCCCATTACAATGTTTGTTCTAACAGCCATTGTTTAATCTCCATATCCACCACCTGTTGCTAGCCCGTGGTTATGATTAGTCTACTTGAACCACAATCTGACAGACCCTCAAGCCTCCATGGCCATACCCAATTTCTGAAAAGAAAGGTGACAAGGCAAACCTTTACTGCCTCATGCCATGAAAGTCAGTGGGATGTGCAAACCCAATGCCATTACATGGGGGCTATGAAAGAGTCACACATATTACCTTGAAGTTGAGCTAAGTTGTGTTCTACCTCAGTAGATAATGCAATCTCAAGCACAGGGAACAGCCACAGTGTGCCATAGAACTGAGCCATTAACTCAGCTTAAAGACTCCTTGATTCAGTGGGATCATTTTGTCTCTGAAAAGGATAGTTGACCTGATCAGTTACAAAGATGGGCCATATTACAACTGAAGATGACTTCTCCAAGGATGCCACATGCTAGTCGGTAATGGCTCATCAGCCCAAACCCTGAATCATAACTGCAGTGCCATGCGGAGCTGAACCAAGAGCAGGGGCAGAAATATTTGGAAGCTAGGGAGCGCCATGCTTGAGAAAGGTCAAAATTCCAAATATGACCCCCATTCCTTTTCTTCATTTTATGGACTTAGTGAGTGATGAAATAATTTTCTTAGATCCACCTTTCAAAAATTCTATTATAAAGAAAAATACAACACTTGCTAAATTTTAAAATATTATTTTCATACTACTAACTTGGTCTTCCTAAGTAAAAGTCCCTAGGTGTATGCCTATTGATAGATTACAGTCTTGAACTTGTATCTATAATATAACTACCCACCTAGCTCGAGAAGCCCCTCAAGACACTGCCTCCAAGCTTTGCCTGACGCATAGCATCTGAGTGTGTTTCTCAAGTTAGGACCCTTATCTCCTCTTGAAATTTTCTCTTTTTTCCTTCCCAATTAGTATTATTATTATTCGTCATAGATGTTAATCCATTTAAGGGCCGTTGCCTAGTCCAGCGATTTAACCTTGACCATCAGCTGTTGCTACAGTTCAAGCCTTAGAGGAAATACGGATCTCTGGTATATCCTTGATACTAAGATATAACATAAGACAAATAACTTGATTCAATATTTCATGATCAACCCCTTGCCTTGTTTAAAAATCCAATACACTTTTGGCCTTCCAAATGATCTATTTGAAACATAGATGAACAACTGATGCCAAGTGGATGAAGTAACCAGAATGATATTGCTAACAAACTCGGAATAAAACCCTCAAGAAAACACTGGTCTCCAGCAGATATAAAGATATGCATGCTGAATTGCCTGTTGGAAAAAAAAAAAATATATATATATATATATATATATATATATATATATAAAGTGATTACCTGTAATCAACTATTGGAAGATTTTTATCAGCCTTTAGTCCTAGTCTCTCTTTCAGCATTGACATTACCTATACACATTAAAAACACACGACTGAAAATCATCATATCAATCAATAGCTTTGAAATACACACGTTTTGACAGTGATCATATTCATAATTATAGTTGGAAATCTAATAAACATGGAAGGCTTATAAAGCTAAACGTTAAACATTTGTAAATCCATATTCTTCGAATAAATATTTTAGGTCAGACTGGTATACCTGAGAAGCTTTGTACCATATTATAAGTTCATGATGCAGAAAGTATTTGATTGATGTCGATTCAAGGTCATATTACACTTAATGCAATATGTCACGCCCTGTGTAGATATTGTCCGCTTTGCACACTCTCCGTGCTCACAGTTTTAAAAACGCATCTACATGGTTAAGACAATGTGGGACGACACAATCACCCCCTCTTGGGACCCAACGTCCTCACTGGCCAGACCCACATGGCCTTGTGCACACCCCCCATTTTCAGCTGGGAATTGGCTTCTATCACAACCCACCCTGCCTCGCGTAGATATTGTCCACTTTGCACTCTCCATGCTCACGGTTTTCATAATGCGTCTACATGGTTAAAGCGATGTGGGACGTCACACAATAGTTACTATTGACTATGTTCCTGCAGTTTAAATTTTTTGTGGGAACACCTCTGTCAAGCTACGATGGGATTAGATATTCTTTCCATTCATTTCATGCATGCTAATTGTGAAATCAATTGTACAAAGGATATCAGTAAGCATCCAATCCAAAAACTCAGTTCTTTCGTCCAAATAAAAGTTGAAAACAAAAACCCAAAAAAATAAATAAATAAACAGATAACAAATAGGATAGCACAACTCTGATCTCCATTTAAGTCAATATTTTAGCCTGCAAACCATCTTACGGAGTTTTAACTAGGCAACAGTGGACTTCAGTCATCAGAAGATGTGCCCACAAATATTATTGATTGGTGTGATAGTACCTCACAATTCCCATTTCAGTTGTAATGCAATCATGACTGATTAATATTAATACCCTTTCCAATTACTGGAAGTGAATAATATTAAGAATGAGTTGACCCACACTGGATAGAAGTGCAATCTCACTCTATGGAAGTCCAAAATTTTAATCAACTGTAACAGCACATACTGTTTTGCAACAAAAGAACTCCTCAATATAAGGTTGGGATCAATATACAAACCTCATCATCATACTTTATATCTGTTATCCAGCCACCTTCTTTCAGCCTTTCTACTTGGAAAACTCCTTCATTTATGAAGTTTTCAATTTCTTCTCTTTTCTTTCCTGTATAATTTAGGACCCCAATAAATTAAGTTTGATACTCAGGATCAAACTAAACCAAAAAAAAAATACCTAAGCACCTGTGGTAAAAGAAATTTTATCTAGCCAATTCCCATAGATGTCATCAAGCAATGCTGTCAGCATCTCACAATTTTCTTCAGACATGTTTTTGCGTGTTAGTTGATCTCCAGCACTTTTATATTTACCAATCCTTTGCACTTGAGGTTCAATTCCAGCTTTCTCAAGAACACCTGCAAAAAAAATTGATCACACCCAACTGCAGTTAAAAAGGAACTATAAGCCATATGTAAAGCAGGGACTCCCCTTCACACATGAGGTGAATAGTGAAAGACATGCTTATAAATCAGCAATTGTCATTAAATGACTTGAAACGATATATGTTAAGTATTTTCTTAACAATTATGACGGACATATGATAGAACTCTACCACCTAGACGCATGAAAAGTGCAAGAAGTACCCTTTTCAAACACACCACACTTGGACATGGATATAGGATATGTGTTCAACATCCAATTATTCAAGTTTATTACATAGTTGTATGTTAAACTCTGTTGTGATGCCCCTTTTTTACATAATTGCTTCAAAATAAGTGAAAACATTAATCTACTCTAGAAAATTGAAAAGCCTCAGATCACTTAAAGGGAATGCCAGGGGAAGGGGAAGACCAAAATTAACTGGAGTGGAATTACTAATGAAAGGTATGAGAAGATATCGCTTGACTGAGGCTATAGACCAGAACGGAGCAATAGTATTCATCCAACCAATCCCAAGAAATAGTTAGGAAAAAGATTTGTTGAGTGGAGTTAGAAAATAGAAGAAAATAAATAAATAATACGAAAATTTAGTTGTGACCCATATTACTGAGTTAGAGAATTGGATAAATCCGATCCACAACCTACATATATACCCGAGCTCATGTAACACAGCTCATCACAACTATTATAATCCAACAAGATATCGAAAACTGGAAGAAAACAGACGATAATCTGAGTAGAGCCAAAGACCTTTATCCTCCTGTGGCATGGGTTAGTATAAGTAAACAAGTAACTTCTCAAAAATAATGATTAATCGTGATCATTTCTCAGCTTTGAGAGCATCTCCTCAGGACTGAAAGCCCAGTCAAAACATATAAGATTTCGATGTAAGGCTTTTCTTCTGAACATGCAGAACTAGGAATTAGGTTTTATTTTTTATTTTTTAACTTGAAATTTTGAAATTTAAACATAATTCGGTTCATTTTATTAGCGCCATGTGCATAATTAATCCTGAGGAATAAGAAACATGAAATATATTTTTATGCAACTCAAATCAACCAATGACTTTTGTCATTTCTCAGTAACAATGCATGTTAAAAAATGAAAGTAGTGTAACGCAACCGATTTGTGATATAGCAATCAGTATAAAAAAAAGACTAGCTTTAACATCACAGTTTGTTTCATTAATGACTAACTTAATATGAATATGTTGGTGGGGAGTAAATCCGTGCAACTCATATATTGAGTAGTGAAGCAGATAGTTTCTGAATCCCCCGCATATAATTCAACATAATTATCATTTTGTGACCCCTAGATATCTGATGTTTGTCTAATGCACACAAAAACTCTTCCAGAACAAGTAAAATCAACTTACCTCCAAGGAATGAGGCTTGAACTGTCAAACCAAACAAAGCAAAATAAGCACTTGGAGGAGCATATAGCTGTTCACAAGCACAACCAAGGTAATACTCTTTCTCTCCACACGCAGGTGCATAAGCCACAATGAATTTACCTACATATCACCAGCATACTCAGATTTACAATCAACATAGAAGAGATTTAATTGTGGGAATTTCACTTATCACAGTTGAAACTGTGGAGAAGAATTAATGAGCTATTTGTAAGAGATTGCATCCAATAACTACTTAAGAAACAACTTTGATAAAGAAACTTTCATTTCAAAAAATTAGTACCACCAAAAAGAACTAAGCTAGAAAAGTCACAGAAGAAATGTGAAAATAAACATGAAAAAACAATGACATCAAGTCTACATACAAACATGCTCACTATAAAGTGTAGCATGGTTGCGCATAAATATGGACGCATGTGGGAGTGAGTAAATGGGTATGCACAACCCCCAAGTCTTCACACAGACATTTCCACCAAAAATCCATCTATTGCAATTGCTGGTGTTCTATATGATTAGGGATCCATACATGCAGCAACCATAAGAACGGTGGTGGTCAAGGGTTTTTCAGATCTTCATATCTCATTCCTATTGAAAGCCCAAAGAATGGACAGGGTTCATCTTGAGTAAAAATTTACCAAGTACTGCAAGTAAATACCATGAATATAACAACACTACCTGATTTTTTAAAATCCAATATATGCCTCCGGATTTCTTCAACTTTGCCCCAACCACAATTCAAGGGTTCAATGTGGAGATAGATACCAGAGATACGAGGATCATATGCTGCTTTCATGAAATTTTCACAAATTTGAGGCAGAGATAATCCTGAAGAGAAACGGCTCTTTAGCTGATCAGATATCTGAAGATAAAAAAAAAAAAAAAAGTAAAAAAAAAAAAAAAATTCTCAACTCCATCACCAATGAAGACGTCAACTTCATAAATAAGAACAAAGTGGATAACTTGGTTCAAAGAAGTTAGGTTCATCAATTCAAAGCAGTACATGTTCCTAGTCCCATGGATTTGTATAGCTCTGAACAGATCAGTTAATGCACAATCATACATCTTTTGTTCTCGAATACAAAGAAAGCAGCATTCATTCAAACCATAATGGACAATAACAAAAGAGAATGGTCATTCACTATTTCATTATGCAAATTGAGCGAAGACAACCTATTAATAAGGCAATAATGGTCCCCGTATTCAAACTTGCCTAACTTGATCTTTGATGTAAACACAGTAATCTTCAGAACTACTCAGTAATCGAAATGAATGAATCTTTATAGTGAAAAATAAAACCTGGCCGCGTAACTTCATGTTCAGAACACTGCCCTTGCGAATACGCTCCCAAGGAAACGCAATAAGCATCCGAAGCTTCACGACAAAGCTCTTCCACGCACCGAACTCTTCGAACTCGAATTCGCCACTCGGATAATCGTCAACAGAGCCTATCACACTTCCATTACCATCATCGGGACCAGACTTGCTCTCAGCTTCACCAGAATTGGCTTCTTTGACTTGCTCAGACGAGGAATCGAAAGCTCGAATCGAGAGGTCTCGGTGATGATATGAATTGGGGGAAGATTGGAGGAGAGGCTGAGGTTTTGAGAGGGGATTGTAGAGAGAGAAACGGCACTGGAAGTGGAGAGGGGAGAGAGAGGAGGTGAGGTGAAGGAGAAGAGGAGGTTTGGAGAGTGTGGCTGCGGAGAAGCCGCGGCGGTGGATGGAGGTGAAGTGAGAGGCGTGGAGGAGCTTCGTCATCACCAAGCTTTCTCTCTGTATGAAGTGAAGTGTGAGAAATGAATGAGAAAACAGACCGGATTGTAAAGGAGGGAGAGGATGATGACGAGGTTAGCTTTACTCCACGTCGTCATGGACGGGGAAGGCTGTCATCACTCGTTAGCGACGTGTAGCATGACTTTTATTCAAAATTAATGTATTTTTATTTTTTGATATGGAAAATAAGATCATATCATATTGTCACATTATTTATATTAAAACAATTTTATTGTATTAGTAAAATATTGTATTAAAATATAAAAAATAATTCTCACATCAAATCAAATAGTTAAAATGAATTACTATTTATTATATAATTAGTTAATTATATAATAAATAATAAAAGTTAAGCAATTCACTCCATGTATAATGTATTACTCAAAAATAATTTAAAAAATAAATTTTTTTTTTTCATTTTTTAAAAAATATTTTTTTTTCATTTTAAATCACTCAAACATACTTACACTATCTCCTTTTTTTTTTCTTTCATTTTAAACAATCTAAACACGTTAAGCCCTATGTTTTCTTTTCTTTTCTTCCCATATCTCGTACAAATGCACTCTTAAAATTTAATATTGGCAATACATATGTATCATAAATTAATATTTAAAATTTTAATTATATTTTAAAAAGCGAGTTTATTTTTATATAAAAATTTTAATTAGGATTATAATATAGTATTGTAAATACACATGAACTCAACTTTTTTCTTCACTTCTCAGTTTCTTCAGTCTTCATTTTCCAATGGCCATTATCAAATCTAGGGTTCGCTTATGCGCTTCACTACCTTTTCTTCGCTCTACACCTACCTTCAACTTCAAGTCCTATTGTTCTTCTTCTTCTTCAAATTTAGAAGATGATCACATCGTAGACGAGAACAAAATACAGAACCCCAACATCGAACTCTCTCCAGCAGAAACCCTACTTGCAGAGAAGTTTCACGCCCTAATCAAAGAGCACCACAGCAAAAACCCTAACCCTAACTCTAAATCCACCATCTTCCCTGCTCTCCCTTTCGACTTTGCCCAAATCGCCACCGTCGAATCCGTCTCCACTGCCATCCTGCGCCGCGTCATCGACAAATGTGGTGGTGTCCGGCACGGTATCCCCTTCCCCCAAACCCTAGCTTTCTTCAATTGGGCTACCACCCACCCCAATTTCCCACACTCCCCCCAACCCTACAACGACATGATCGACCTCGCCGGAAAGGTACGACAGTTCGACGTAGCTTGGACATTGATTGGTTCCATGAAAGCACGAAATATAGAAATTCCAATCGACACATTCTCGATTCTCATTCGTCGGTATGTTCGGGCTGGATTGGCGGCCGAGGCTGTTCATGCCTTCAATCGAATGGAGGATTTCGGTTGCAAGCCCGACCGGATTGCGTTCTCCATCGTGATTGGTATTCTTTGCAAGAAACGAAGGGCTTGTGAAGCTCAATCTTTCTTCGATAACTTGAAAGACAAATTCGAACCCGATGTGATTGTGTACACTAGCTTAGTTCACGGTTGGTGTCGAGCTGGCAACATTTCAGAAGCTGAGAGGGTGTTTGGGGAAATGAAGCTAGCTGGGATTGAACCCAATGTGTATACCTACAGTATTATAATTGATGCATTGTGTAGATGTAGACAGATTACTCGTGCCCATGATGTTTTTGCAGAGATGATCGATCGGGGATGTCAACCCAATTCTGTTACTTTCAATAATCTAATGCGTGTACATGTGAAGGCTGCTCGAACTGAGAAGGTCCTTCAAGTGTATAACCAGATGAAGAGGCTTTCGTGCCCTGCCGATACCATCACCTATAACTTTCTCATAGAGAGTCATTGCAGGGATGAGAACCGTGATGAAGCAGTGAAGGTGCTTAATACAATGGTTAGGAAAGGTTGTGCTCCGAATGCGTCTACTTTTAACCCAATCTTTAGGTGCATTTTAAAGTCTCGAGACGTGAATGCTGCTCACGGGTTGTATGCCAAGATGAAGGAGTTGAAATGTGAGCCCAACACGGTCACTTACAATATATTGATGCAGATGTTTAATGATTCGAAATCCCCTGACATGGTTCTCAAGCTTAAGAAAGAAATGGATGATCAGGAAATTGAACCTAATGTGAATACTTATCGGATTTTAATTTTAATGTTCTGCGGGATGGGGCACTGGAATAATGCCTACAAGTTCTTTAGGGAGATGATTGAGGAGAAGTGTTTGAAACCAAGTCAGTCAGTTTATGAGATGGTTCTGCAGCAACTGAGGAAGGCCGGGCAGATAAAGAAGCATGAAGAATTAGTAGAAAAGATGGTGGATCGGGGATTTGTCACTCGCCCTTTGTAGGAGCATACACTGCCTGTACGAGCTGGATTAGGTAGTATTTCATTGTGTGTTTCATCATTATAATGTTAACTTAATTCATGGGAAACTTCTGTGTTATGAGTACACTTATGCTAGACTCCTGCCATTGTATTTCAGAAATTCAATGTGTTGTGCTTCCTGCAAGCCTGTTTTGGAATATGTTCATCTAATTGAGTAATTTAAATTGTTGTAATTGGAGTCAATCTTAATTTTCTCTACACTTGAGCATCTGCAAGTCCTTGTGTTATATTGCCTTCATTCAAAGTTTCTATATGTTAATGTCCTTATTTTATATTGATAAATAGGTGCTGACACCATCCATATGGGATAAATGCAAGGATGATGATGAGCTATCTTTTATAATGGTGTGTCTCATGTTGTTTGAGAGGGAATTATTAGTTTTTATAGTTACTCTAAATGTGGAACGATTGCTGAACATCCTTCTCTTGAGCACAGTTTCAATACTAGCACTAGATAGGATACTGGAGCCACTGTCAGCATGGGCCATTGTTATCAGGAATGATGACCATGTTCCTGAGATTGATCTGGCTATATATATATATATATATGTGGAGCATTGATGTGATTTAGAAGTATATTAGGGTAACACATATTGTTCTCATGATTCATTGTGGCTGAGAGAGAGAGAAGAAAAAGAAGATGAAAGAAAAGAAACAAGGAGATTCCAAGGAAATAAAGCCCAACAAAAAGGCACCCAATCAGTTCCGAAAACCAGAAACTGCACCAGCTATACATCAAGCCCTGAGGACATCAAAATAGATCACAGACTGATCCAAAAAAAAAAAAAAAAAATAGAGCTCGACTGTGGGAATAGACCAGAAGAAGAAATTTAGAACATGTCAAACAGTTTTAAATCTGTAGCTACTCTGCTGGCCAACTGAGGATCTTTGAATTGCACTTGGTGCCTTAGGCAAGTCTGAGCCTGATAGTCTCTCTAATGTTGGAGATTCTCTTGGAAGGAGGAGAGCTTTGGTTTCTGAAGGCTCCAGTGTTTCTCTCTTGGCAAATAAGTAAACAGTGCTTGAGAGGAGCAACTTGTGTATGTAGAAGGAGCAGTGTCTATCATAAGAGAGCACACCAGCCAATAATACTATCCCAATCTCCAGGAACAATGTAAAACCCTCCAATGTGCTGAGAGTAACTCCATATTGTAGAAGTAACTTGTTGCATCAACCTCTGATCAAATAATTTTTTCATAATTTATCAAATATTTTTAATCATGTGGATTTTGCATGTGCTCTTTACTAGTATTGTAAATATGTAGATACAATTGGGTCTTCGAGGAAGGCAACAACAATCATATTTATTACTTATGCGTAAATATGTTTTATATATTTATGGTCTTTAGCAGTGGTGGCAGGAGACCATGGTGGAGAGAAGAGAGAGAATTGCATAAGGGAAAACAAAGGGGAGAGAGCAATGACGGAGAGATAGAGGAGGAAGAGATATAGAGAGTTGTGGCGGCGGTTGGTTTGGGAATAAAAGAATAATATACAATAAATTTTCTTGTCTTAGTCATACTTTGATAAAAACTCCATTTTGGAAAGAGGTGCCGTTCACTCCATCATTTTGGCGTAAGGACTCTATAATTCCATTTTTTAGGAATTATCCCATTATACATATACAATGAAATATCACAAATTATGTTTCCATACCAAATAGACTAGGATTAAATTGCGGTAATTGGTTTAGAACCTTCAAACTATTTGGAAAATATCCAAGATCAATCAGAAATGTTTGACGACAAATAAAAAATGTATGAAAAATAAACAAACAATCAAAAAACAAGGACACAAGCAATTTACATGGTTCGGCTTAAAAGAATGCCTAATTTCGTGGGCGATAACCATCAGCAATTTCACTATGAAATTAACAGAGTACAAGAACAAGAAGAAAAATGAATTATTATTCACTCACAATAACACTCTATAAGGTTTATAGCGTCACAGACTTTTTCTTATTTACCCAAAATCTCTCGTGAAGACATAATAACACTCGCCTATCCAAGTCACTTGCAAAATTAGAATCCACATAACCGCTGTTATGAGACTCTGAAGTACTATCCCACTGATAAACCAATCCAACATTATCACAGGATGAGCTTATTAGGCAAATTTTTAAATTTTGTTGGTGTTGGATTGCATACGCACTCATAAACTTGTTAAAAAAATTTGAATTTTCATTAATATTACAAATTGAAATTCATATTGTGATTGTATGTTTAAGAATAGATTTTGTTGCGTAATACGTGGAGTCCTAAAATTTTATGTTTTTGGAATACATTAAATATTTTTAAAAAATTATGGACCTCATCATATATGCATATAACATAATCGCGCTCTCATAGTTAATGTTGTTCATTTTTCTCGTTATTCAAAAATAAAATTAAAAAAAAAAAAAATTCTAAAATCCAAAAAATTACGTAGTTTTTATTAGGAATTTTTGTAGCTTTTTTTTAATTATTTTTTGTCCATTGTTGTCCATTTGCTTTGGCATCCGTTGTCCATAAGTGTGTTTCAAAATCTCATGCGCGCACAAGAGCACTCATTCCTAGTCTCTATAGTGCACTTCTGAGAGTCCTCCAAGTCCAAGCACCGAATTCCACTCCATATTCTTACTTCATATTGGGCATCTTTATTGAGGTAATCCGATTCCGTTTCATCCTTTCAATCATATAGTCTTTGTTTTGCACTCTTTAGCTAAGATTGAATGGTTATGAGTACATTGAGGTGTAAGGGCTTCAGCTTTGAGATTTCCTGGTTGATCTTGGAGTTGAGCTCAAATTTTGTTGGTGGTTTGTGTTGTTGTTGTGTTTATTTTTGAACTCTGTGATTATGTTTGATTGATTCGTGCCTGTTTTTGGGGTTACACGGATTAAAAGTTGGTTTTATAGGTGAAGCCTGAATCAGTTCACTCAAGGTGCTCGGTAAAAAGCCCAAACCAACTCTTCAAGCTTTTTCCTTGAATTTCTGAAGCAACAATGCCTTCTAACCGTGCTACCACTGAACTTGGACTGAGTACTCATGCCAATCCTCAAGCTAGCCAAATTCCCCGGACTGTGACAGAGAATGGTTCCATTCAATCTGTCCCTGGTCACCTTCACAATTCTGAGGTATGCAACACTTGCAAGAAGAATGCTAGGAAAAGAAAGGCATTGGCTTTGTTTTGTTTCCCAGTACCGATGTGCCACTCTCAATATACTTGTGAGGCACATCAAACAGGCCTTTGATGAATCAATGGGACAGTGCAGATTCTGTGCACCAGTAGATGATCCTTATATTCCAGAGGTTCCTGCTGCTCTTGTAGATGATGATTTGCTTCCCAATACCGATGAGCCAGTCACATGCAGACATTTCATTATTTTTTGTGAGGTACATGAAACAGAGGTTTGATGAATTAGCGGAACAGCACAGTGCACCAGCAGGTGATCCTCATATTCCAGAGGTTCCTGCTTCGCTTGTAGATGATGATTTGCTTCCAGATACCAATGAGCCATTCACATGCGGACATGCCAATATGGTTTGTTGTTACTTCAAACAGAGGTGTGATGAATTACAGGGACAGCGCATTGCACCATCAGATGTTCTTTATATTCCAGAGGTTACTGCTGCCGGAAGTGATGAGGATGATGAATTGATGATGCTGGTGATGGTCATGGTGGTGGTGATGAGATTGCTGCTCTGCATTGAATTTTGAGTGATGCGTTTAGGGTCGTAGACTTTATTTTTCAGATGACTGTATTCATGATTATTTTTGGATATTCTTGCTACTTTTTTGCTGCTATGGTGTGTGCGTGCATATTCTCTGTCTATTTTGTTCTCACCGTTAGCACGTTTAGTTAACTATTTTTTGGATATATGTCATATTTTAATTTAATATTAATGCTTCTTATCTGATTGTGATGCTATTTTATGCTCCCTATCTCTCGTGTCTTATTCTCTGTTATTTCCTGTCTAAGTTAGACTTTGTCAATTTGTTCCAAAAAGGGGAAGAGTAGAGTGTGCTTAATTGAGGGGGAGGCATGGAATATTTTTGGTATATGTTTTTATTTCTCTTTAGTAAACTTTCTCAGGTAGTTTTGTTGAGTGAATGTGTAGATTGCAGAGTTGATCTTTGAAGACTCACCTACATTGTGATGAACCTTCTTTTGAAGACATTCCAGTTTGGTTGTTTTTTTTTTTTTTCCTGCAAGTATAGTAGAGTGAAGCAGGCAGTTTCACTTTTGTCGGACAGTCCAGGCACTTTGGGCAAATTGCAATTTTACTTTTCCTGCTGGGTAGGTTACAATGTGTCTTAGGGTTTTGTCACGAAATTGCCGAAGGGGAGATAGATGGATATAAAAGAGTTGTGGATAATAATCAGTATAGTTTTTTTACTGTGTAGTGACTATAAAGGAGATGGGATGTTTATGATATTGTTCGAGGTTAAATGGAAATAAAAGAGTACTTGCAAATGAAATGCAATGCATTCTGCTATCTGGTTTATTGCAACTCTTGTTCTGGGTTGTCTACTTATGCTAGTTGTATCTCAGGTTGGAGAAAGATCACATTGATTTTCAGATTGGATGGTCTTGACAAATCTTCATTGATTGATCTTTCAACGAAGAAAAGTTGATTTATACATTGTAGGGTTCATACTTAAGAGATGACTGATTGACCCTCAGGATGCTATTGTTACGGAGTGTTACAACATTGCCAAACAACTAAAATTTTAAAGACACTCTTAGCTATGTTCCGCTTCTTGAAACTTTGTCGAGCCTATTGACGGTCTTATGGTGCTGAAGAATCAATTACGCAGAGGTAACATTTACAAGGTGTAAGCATCGGTCCAAGTTTGATTTCTGAATTATTTCTTCACGTTGAAGTTCATCAACATATATTTCATTGCTTGCTTAAGGTGTAACAAAGCTTTTTGCCTGCAGATGGAGTTCGCTTTCTTTGTTTTGATGTTTTATTAGCTTTTCTAAAGTTTGGTACTGTCCTATATACTGCTCGACAGCTAAGGATACAAACTTCTAGCTTCCCATTTTGGTGCTTTACTCCTTTTCTCCTTGATTGTATGTTGTTCCTTTGAAGTTTGAAGAACTTAAAAAAATTGCAGTTTACCTTATCGTTGCCAAATTATGTCAAATGAACGAGTATAACCTTGTTTTTGATGTCGATATGTGATCATTTGTACATAAATTTTATATAAATGAGCAGAGTCTGTCTAGCTTGATGCTCAAGGTTTTGCATTCTTGCAGTTTCTACTGTGATCCTTCTATGGAATCAAGTGTTGTCTTATGCATAATAGGTTCATGCCTTCATAAATTACTTATTTTGCAACTCAACAACTTTGGAAGTTACATGAAGAGCCAGTTAGTTCAGTGCAGCATCCAAATATGTTACTTGTATGACTGACTTGAGAAATAACAGATTGAACCTTGAGAGTGAGAAAGAAAGATGAGATGAATTACCACATGCCTCTATTAGTGTTGTTTAATTACATTTCCTGAGTTACCACTCTTTGAAACATATTCCTTTTGTTTGGATGTAAAATATTTTTTTTACTTTCTCATGTTTGGTTGTTGAAAAATATTTACAATAAAAAAAAATATTAAAATCTAATGAAAATTACTTACCCATCAATTCGGCAAGTTATTTTATATTCCATCCGATGTGATCGACCTAAACCTATATATATATATATTTATATATATATATATATTGAGAATCCTATAAAGTTCCTCTTTAAAAAGTATTATATTTTACCTGAAAAATGAAATACGGTTACATTATATATGTTGTGTCTGCAGTGTCTGCAGGACCAATAATACTTTTTAAAGAAGAACTACATAGGATTCCCATCAACAACAACAACCAAAAAAATAAAAAAATAAAAAATAAAATAAACAGGTTGATTTGGATAAGGAACCATAAGTACTTTTGTTTTCTCAACCTAAGTGTGAGTTGGTAATATTGAATCTAAACTTTTGTTTTCAGAAAATATTTTTTCAACCCCGTGTACAATGAAAATTACTCTCACAAGGAGGTTAGGCACCCGTTTTGTGGAGAATATGATACAACTTGACCTAATTCTATCCATTCGAGCTTCACCGTTGGCCAAATGAAGCCCAACCAGCACAGGTATTTTCCCAATTTCCCAAACATCATTGATTATTTGATTGTATGAGTGAAGGATTGCTCCAATAAAGATACTGATAACAAATTTTCAAAGAATTTGGCTTCATTGAAGCTTCAAAAAAAAAAAAAAAAAAAATATGAATTTAACAAAAGGTCAGTTACAGTTAGCTGATTTCGTCTTATTCTTTGGTGCTAATTTGCTAAGGGTTTGTTTTGTCTCACTTCCTGTTTTACATAAGATAAGACACATAGGTCAAGCTTTCATCTGACTTGACATGTTGTAATGCATTATTTTTAGTTGTTGCAGAGAGAACTGATACTATTGTTATTTTGGGTATTATTACCTTGACATAGTGCTATCAATATTTTTAATTAAATTTGCTTTATATCATGGTTGTCATGACCTTACTTTTAAGAGTTCAGAAATTAACTTTTTTCAAGTGATTGCCTATTCATACCTCTTAAAGTTGATGTTATTGTGGTTAAAGTTGTAAGGAATTCTATTGAAGTATAGGTGTGGATAACAGGATGCATATTGCTGTTTCATTCTTTAAACTTTATTCGCTACTATGGCAAAAAAAAAAAAAAGCAAATTGTTTCGATTATTTTATGTTTTTATTTGCATTGTAATGTTGTGGTGAATTATGACCAGTGTCATTGTAAACCATCTGTTATCATTATCAAACAACTCTGGTTTCCAGCCTATGTTGCAACATGCTGGGATGATTCTTGTATGACACAGTCCAGTCCTTTTCAATTGCAAAATGACTTGTTGCCTATCCGGGATGTGACCTATGTCCCCCGCTCATGAAGATCCAAAAATGATGGTTCCAAAGAGAAAAAAGAATAATATGAATAAGTGATCACATGCCTCTATTTTTTTGTCCAAACATGTTGGTTAGGGGACCGATGTAGGTCCTGTAGCTGCTGCACCTGTTCTTCTTTACAGATCCCGTAATGTATGAGTCCTATTTTACATGACTGTAATTACTCCCTTCCCTTCCCTCTTTGTGATGGTACTCAGAGTGAGTAGCTCTAGTTTTGGTGTAGTTTAGGTGAAATGGATGTTTCCAAAGGATTAAGTCGACTTTTAAATAAGGCTTGTACAATTTAGTATACTTCAATTTTCGGATTTGACTTTGATTAATCTAGAAATGCGTTGTGGAAGTTCTTTGAATTGTGTTGTCTATGAGATTTGATAAAACACGGGTGCTGAAATTACCTTTGAAGCTGAAACTAAAGTGGTCCCTGCCTCTTGTAAGGATTCATTCATGTTTGATCCCTTATCTCCTTTGTTTTTTCAGAATTCATGTTCGTTTATTAGGCTGTGCAGAAATATAGTAATAGTCTAAAGTTGTTACATATCTGTCATCCCACATGCACGGTGATGCATCACACACATCCTGCAAGAATGAAGCTTTGTCTGTGCTGGCGCGTATGAGTGGCCATTTTTCTTCGCATTAATTATCCATTTTTGAGGATATACTTTTGGTGTAGATTTTTGTTCGTGACGAAACTAATCATTTTTTTTTTCCTTCTTTTCTTTTGGTTTGTTTACTTGCATATCCTTAAAATATTTGTTCTCTAATTTGGATGTTCTGATGTTCCAATCCAATGATGCAACAATTATGAAAACAAAACAATTTCTTTATTTGGTGAGAACTCTATCTTCCTTTAGTGCCTTCCATGATTAGAAATTGTGGTGAGACACCATTTATCTCCCCTTTAGAGCCTCTCATAATCAGGAAATGATTTTTTTTACCATACCACTTGACTACACAGTTCTATCTCATCTCTCTCTCAAAGTAAAAGGTTGAGGATCCATTTTTTTTTTCATAGGAGCAAAGTATTTGTGTGTTACTTTCTAGAAAAATAAATTTATTCTTCAGATTCACACACACACACACACAAAAAAAAACAGCTTTGAGGTTTTATCACATTTTTACTTCATTTGTTCTTCTTTTTTGCCCCTTTGTTGGGAATAAGCATTCAGTCTAGAAGTTGGAATATTATCTATCACTTACTGGAGTCATGTTGCCGCTTCATAATATTGTTGTTAAGATTATTCTGCGACAAAAACTTAGGTATGGTTAATTATGTACTTATTTTTAATCTTTTAAACTTAGAAGAACAAGGGCTATAGTGCCGGTATGCGAGTTTCTTTCCAAGGTAAAAAAATAAAAATAAAAATAAAAATAAAAATCTAAATCTCTCATTGGTGTATGCATGCAAGCTTATGATTGCTGTGTGTCTTGGTATTGGAGTACATGAAAACCTGTAAAGAGGACATCCCAACAAAAGCTTATCGAAAGATTAATATATACATGCATGTGCTAGCTAATTATGGAACTTCTACATTTCTTGATTCTACTATTACACTGGAAAACTGAGACGTTTCATAGTCAAAAATATGGCTCATTTTTACAACTGCCAAAATTTTCAGCTCAAGCTACCAGTCTGCAAAACAACAAACACAGAAATGAGATTCTCACTTTCTTTTGCCAAACCAGCTGTTTTTCTTTACCTTTTCACCACTTTGAATTGGAGTAATATTAGCTCCTTTTGCAGCAAAGGGAGACTCTTCTTTCTCTCCCTTCCTCTTTCCATTCCTATTCTTCTCCACTGGATTCTTACCTTTCTTGCATGAGTAATGTTTCTCTCCCTCCTTTTCCTCCTCTTGATTCTTGTGACCATTCACCCACAAGTATTCTCGACGACTCGGGCCAGAAGAAGCATCAGAAGCCATGGAGTCGTCGCTATCGTTGTCGTGCTTAACATAATACTTCTTGTTGCAGTACTTGTCGTAATCATCATGATCACTATGATCATCACCATCATCTGAATCACCATCTATGGGGGAGCCAATATACATTGTCCACCCAGATTCACTGCTGTGACATTCTTCTGCAACTCCAAAGATTTTGGAGGAATCCATATTATGTTGATCAATAGGCAGGCAAGAAAAGAAGAAAAAGATGAGAAGAAATTAAGAATCAACTACAAGACAGAACTAGAGTTCTTTAATAGAAGAAAACCAAAGAACTGAATCTTAACACCTGGGCAGCCATTATGCCTTTTCCCTCTCTGACCCCCAAACAGCTCTCTACACAAAGAACAGGTGTACCCATTTTTATACTATGAAAGAAACATAAAAAAAACCCAAGTATTTATTTATTGAATTTTAAGAGCTGGATTAAATTTTACCACCTAGACAACTAAATGGGCCATTAATTCTCTGACTTTATATCACCAGAAGACAGCTAGAAGCTGTCAAAAAGCAAGAGAAGCCTTCCTTACAAAAGGCATAAAAACCCCAAGTTCCTTGAATTTGAAAGGACAGGGTCGCTCATTTGGTGATTGGGTTACACTAGTGAACATAAAATCCATCTTTACTTCTCTGGATTTGTCATTAATAAAAAGTAGCTATGAATGCAAATACAGATGAGCAGTCTATCTGCTTCTGAGAATATATACATATATATATATATATACATATATATATATATATATATATATATATATATATCAACCCTTGTTCTTAAATAGGATAGAAAAGGACCTCTTCTTTAACCCTCATTTATCTTCGGAACTTTAATTCTCCGTCTTGTCCAATTAAATACAAGGATTAAAAAAAAATTAAATCAAACAGCAGCTTTTTCCTTGTGAAAATTTTTCAGATTGCAGGGAACCCAATTGGAGATAAGTTTATTGATCAGAATATTTGTGAGGATTCTGCTCTTACGTATTTACTGTAATTATGTCTTCTCATAAAGCAGACTTGTGTCTTTTCCGTAATTAGGGAAGAAGATAGGTTCTTTCAGTTCTATCTTTGATATTTTTATTGGTAACATTATGTTGTTATTTAATATATGGTCCTTTTACTTTTTTTACAGCAGTTAGTACTGATATTGAAAAAGAAAAGAATGGTCATAGACATGTTACCATTAAAGCATACTTCTACTAATTGAAAAGATCTGTTTTAATGGTTGAAAGGACCTTTACAGATTCACTCAGAATGCATATCCTATCTTCTTCTCATAGGAATTCAATGTAAATTCACATAGTGAATTTAATTTCCTAACATGACTTTCAAACTTTTTACTCTAGGCCAGCCTTGCATCAACTACTACTAGCACCTTCCCAGAAGTATAGATTTTAAAAACCGTGAACATAAAGAGAGTGCAAAGCGGACAAAATATACACAATGAATGTGAGGCAGATAAGATTTGCAAAAGATCGTCTACTAACGCTTGTGAAGTCGAGGTTCTTGAGTCTTCTTGTGACAGGGCCATCATTGATTGAAGCGAAGGAACAAAAGGGACTTAGGGTTCATGACCAAGTGGGGTGGGACCCCTGCCTCTGGTGGTTTTTTTTTTTTTTTGAAAACTTGATTTTAGTTGTTCCCCACTGCTAATTCCTTGCCATGTTTTGTTATATGTTAATAGTAGACAAAGTGTGGCCCATATATTATTCTTGTTGCTTGTCTTTTTGGAGGATCACATCTTGAGTTGCTCTTGTCTTGGGCTCCATGTGAGAGAGGTAGATGTGCTTCCCAAATTCTCTTTGATAATGGAGACAAAATCCCCAGAGCTGGAAAGATATGTTACACCAGTTTCACCCTGTGGGTGTGCATTTAAAAATGTGTTTCACAGTATTTTAGTTGTGAGGATAAATAAAAACTTCCTTTAGTGAATCTTAATGGTCAAACAAATGTGGCCTTTCACAATATTGTACTTTTACACTTTCCCATGTATGATTAATTATATGGTAGGAATGAAAACTGTAGATTTAGTAAAATCTAATTTTGACCTTAAAGTCTTTAAATAGTCCTAAAGTTTAGGGGAGAGAGGAAACATGTGATTCCTATCCTAGAAAGTTAGAGCAAGTTTGAGTGTCTTTGATTGACAAATAGGGTGAAAGTGTACAAATAATCTATGTTACCACCAAACAAGTATATCTTTTTTTGATTGTTTTAGCTCCTAAGTCAACATTCATTCTAGTTCTACAGCTCCAAAAGTACACCCCCGTATCATTCACATGTGCGTTTTATTATTTAAAGTAAGGGTGCTTTTGAGCTGGTGATTTGGTCTCTTTTAGCCCATCATTCCTTGTGCAAATTGAGCTTTTGAAGGTAAATTACCCTTTTATCCCATGTGAATCACCACAAATTGGTGTACATCAAATAGCTTAATGGTAGTAAAAAAAACAGTTCATGCCGACAGTGAATGTTTTGGTTGGGTTTGTGTGTTCAAAACCTTGAATTTCATGTTGCAGCACCCCTTTAGTGAATCATAGCCAATGTCAAAACCTCCAATTTCAAATGTAGGGTACTACTCTATGCTAGCACCACCCACAACATAAATGAGCCTCAACTCCCAAAGTGGATGGAGGTCAAAATGTATAGCACAATATTTATGTAAAGCACTAAACATGAGATCTTATTTCGATAATCTATAAATAAATATAAGGATAAGACTTGCTTACTCACCGTGATATTGTAATTACGAATTATTTATGCATTTATGATTGGATCACATCAACCATCCTATTCACTCACCAGGCAAGTCTGTATTTGGCGAAATGAACGTACTAAACTGCGACTTAGAACAATAGCCAAACCTTAAAAACTAGTTTCTCTCTCTTATTTTTTTTGCATAATTAAGATTTTAAACGTGTTGTTTCATAATTACAGTGTACATAATTGATGAGAACTATACAGCGTATGGAGATCAGTTTGTTTGTAACCTAATTCCACGTTTTTATCAGTGTAGAAAAAAATAGGAAACACTTTCCTACAAAATAATTACCAAAATAATTGAGAGCATTACTCTTTGATTTCTAAAAAGAATTGAGGGGTTACCATGAGAATGGTAAGAATATGTCTTTTGTTATGGGCCTAATGGCCTTCTTGCATTTCCTGTCTCTCTCAGGCCCACACTTGTTCATACCCATTAATACAATTTCAAAAAAAAAAAAAAAAAAAAAAAAAAAAAAAAAAATTGCTAATAAGTTCTCAAGGCTTACTACACACATTTCTCAATTCTTAAGAATTTGTATTAGGCTTCAAATTCCACCAAACGAAATGGAAATATATATTTTATTTATTTTACGTGTAAGCATGTTTTTGTGTATAACTTGTAGAGCACATGTGTTTCTTAATTTTATTTTTATTTTTTATTTTTTATTTTTGCTTTTTGATGCTTTGCAATAAGTTGTAGAATTAGTTGTCTCTCAGATCTTGTGTACCATACTTGCAATCAACATCACAATAACATTAAAACAAGGATATGCTATCAAATGATAAATGTTATATATATATATATATATATAGCGAGAGAGAGAGAGAGAGAGGGAGTTGTATTTCAAATTAGTTAGTAAAACCGTTGTTCAAATGTTTTTTTTTTTTCTTCGTTAAATAAGTGAGATGAAATTAAAAAGCCAAATTTAAACCAATTGTTCAAATTCCGTCCTAAATAAATTAAGCTTTTCAGAGATATTCAGCTTTTTAAATATCGTATTTACAATCCTTAAAATTTAAAGGCGGAACTGATTTACTTCAGTTAATCCTAAACAGGTCCCACCACTAAGCCAACCAATGTCCCTTTGGACTAGTAAGGTGCAAGTTTTGTATAGTAAAAGGTGTTTGATAAAATTGAAAAAAATAATTGTAATACCCCGTATTTTATTAAAGAGTTTAGTTTATTTAAATTCATTTATGTGTGGATTTCTTTACCTATTATTATGCATGCTACATTGTTATATTAAGTTCATTTAATGGTACATCTAAATTAATTGTATATGTTAAAATAGTAAATTTATTCATTTAATTGTGCAAGTATTATTATTAATAATTTTATTTGTTGATTATGTTTAATTAAGCATTATTAGTTAATTAAAGTATTATATTTATGTTATAAAGTATTATGATGATATAATGTATTCTTATGTAATAATAATAATTATTATAATAGTTATTATTAATAATAATAATATAATAATATTAATTATAATAGTTTATTAATAGTTATAATAATAATAATAGTTATAATAATAATAATAGTATTAAATCATAAGTCATGATGAAATTAGAGATTAGGATAGGATTTCATTAATATTTATAGGTAGGACTTGAAGCCATATGGTTGGGAATGTGGTGAGTTTAATGTAAATTTAGATATTTGTAATATTTAAATTATATAAGTTATTTATATATAGAAGTTAGCCCTTTAGTTGAGGATTCACATAAGTTGAAGAAGGAAATAATAAAAGTAAGTTCTTGTATAAGACCGAAAGGAGAAGAGAGAAAGAAAGGAGCCTGGACCGGTGTAGGGGAATTTACCCGATTACGCGCAACCGGTGGATTTATTTTAAATCCAAAAAGGCAAGTTATTATCTACTTTTCCCCTTTGAGTCCATAAATTATTCATTACATTTATTCGGCTATTTTTTTGAGGTTAGAAACCATGCTAGGACAATGAGAAATTAATTATTTAATTTATTAAAATAATGAGATATTAATTACTTAAGGGTTAAATAATTTATTATTAGCCTAGGTAATTATTTGAAACTTGGGAAATTGTTATTTAAGGCTTTAGAATTTTTTTTTAGAATTTTTGGGCAATTTTCGGAATTTTTCTGTATTTTCCAGCGACCCTCCGGCGAGTTTTCCGGTCGCCGGCAATAGGGGAGATGACCGGAGTGATCCGGTGTGATGCGGCGCACCATAGGAGGGTATGCGCGCGCATCTGGACCATTAAACAGCAGCGATTGATCCGGTGCACCGCGGTCCATGTTACCGCGGTACACCCGGATCCGTGAGCGTTGGATGGAGGGAAGGTAGGTGGATTGATCCTGTGTGGCGCGCATGTAGGAAAGCTGATGCAGCCAACCAACCGGAGGACGCCACGTCAGTAGGAAGCCATCAACGCGCGCGTGGGAGCGCGTGCGCGCGGGTGGAACTCTCCAGACGCGCGTGGGAGCGCGTGCGCGCGCGTGGCTGATGCCAGACGCGCGTGGAGGCGCGTGGGAGAGTGGGGAAGGTTGGGCTGCGCGTGGGGAGGCTCTGGGAGGCGCGTGAGGGCGCGTGTGGGGTCTCTACAGCTGCTGGAAATTACCAGAATACCCTTAAGGCCTGTTTTGTAAATTCCAGAACCTTAAACTTGGATTTTTAGGTACTGCGTTGGTATTTACGGGTTTAACGGGCCACGAAATTATTATTTTAAAACCCGTTAAGTATTATTATGGCCGATTAATATTTCTAAACCTTAATTGGCCCGTTTACCGTACGTATATGAATGTGACTCATTTGACCACATTACTATAGATGGTATTATTATGTTATTAAATGGTATTCATTATTACTGTTCAAATATAATAATGTCACGGTTATCGTCATATAAATTATCCATTATATTATGGGATATTTATACTGTTAATCA